TAATGATACTTATAATAATAAATATATAAAAAATAGTAATTATATATTAATATTAATAATAATAATAATTATTATAATAAACATAATTATAATATTTTAAATTATAATAATAATAAACATAATTTGATTATCTTATAATTTCTTTTATTATTTTTTATTATTATTTAAATAAATCAATCACCAACCAACTTTTATAAATTTTTCTCCTTATTTTTCTATATTTCTTGTCAACTTTCTCTTAATCCAAGTAATTATATTTTTATCTCACTAATCAAATCTATGATTTTCCGTTTTATCATATTAATCTACTATTCCAATGTCAAACTCTACTGTTTAAACCGACTCTAAGCCCCTGTTTGTTTGAACTGATTTGCGACGAAATACTCTTCACGAAGACAGAAACACGAGATTCACCCACGTTTGGTTGAACTGATTTGCGACGAAATGCAGGCGAGGAAAAGGGGGAGATGAGAGAGAGAGTTTCTTCGCTGAGGTGCGAAGAAAAGAGATGAAAGTAATGAAAAGTCGTTGTTACCCTGCAACATATGATAGCGGTTAAATCTTAACCGCTATTATAACAGCACTTGTAATAGCGGTTAAAACTTAACCGCTATTATATATCACTTCTAATAGCGGTTAAAACATAACCGCTATTATATATCACTTCTAATAGCGGTTAAATCTTAAACGCTATTATATATCACTTAAGATAGCACTTACAGAGGAACCGCTATTATATCCTCCAATATTTCGCTCGAGCGAGACATAGTCGCTCAAGCGAAAAACAACCCGAGACTGAAGAAATTAAAATATGGTTGTATATGATAGCGGTTCCACTGGAACCGCTATCTAATATACACTTTAGATAGCGGTTACAGAGGAACCGCTATTATATCCTCCAATTATGATCGATCATTACCTAAATCTAATCGATCAGAATCATATTTCGCTCGAGCGAGATATAGTCGCTCAAGTGAAACACAACCCGAGACTGAAGAAATTAAAAATTTGGTTGTATATGATAGCGGTTCCACTGGAACCGCTATCTAATATACACTTTAGATAGCGGTTACAGAGGAACCGCTATTATCTCCTCCAGTTATGATCGATCATTTCAAATTATGATCGATCAGTATCGTTTTTCGCTCGAGCGAGATATAGTCGCTCGAGCGAAATGCAACCCGAGACTGAATCTTAAAATATTTTTTTGAATATTATGTTTTTAAATTTGCTATTAGAGAAAACCTTTCAGAATTCAAAATGTTAAATACTTTAAATATTAAAATTAACTTTATCAAAAATTAGGAAAACAAAATTTATCCAAAAGAGTTCAAAAATGTATAAGAGTATTCTCAATTTTGAGTTTAATTATATTGTTCATTCTCAAAGTAGAAATTTATATTGTAGTTATTTAATTTACATTTTGTGATCTTCTTAAAATTAGCATCAATAACATTAGACTTTACATTTGATTCATACCTAACTAATTATAGATTAAAAGGAAAGTGGTATAACCATGCATTCGGAGTCAGATATATGGGACATCTTCTTCTCTCCCAGTTGTTCATGTTCTTGCACTCAACCTTTCCACCAAGAACCAACTTCCAGTTGTAATTCTTTCTTGGAAAAAGGATGCTAACAGTTGCTTAAATTGATTGCTTTGTTTTTTTAAAAACTGATATGATAAAAGTTCCAAGCAATTCTGTTTATAAAAGAGTTTTCAGAAAAAACTGCATTAATTAATCTGTTCAAAGTTTGTTTTAATCTGTTGAAATAGCCGTTATAATCTGTTAAAAGTCCTTTCAACCCATTAATGCGTTCTTGTTCTTTAACAGAATTGTTTTAGCTGATACGACCAAGTTTTTATCAGTTAAAAATTTTTACAAACATTTTCTAAGAGTGATTTAATCGATTGATTCGCGGTTTAATCGATTGATTCAGTTTAAAACTTTATTATAACACTTTTCAAGTTATTTTAACTGATACAAAGAAGTTTTAATCGATTAAAAACCTGCACAGAATTTTTTCTAAGTCATTTTAATCGATTGAAATTCGTTTTAATCGATTGAAACTCTGTACAAAAATTTTCAAGTCATTTTAATCGATTGAAATTTGTTTTAATCGATTGAAATAAGTCTGATCGGTCATAATTCAATTCTGATCGATCATAACCAACTCTGATCGGTCATAATTACATTCTGATCGATCATCCTGACTTCCAAAGTGGTTTTAATCGATTAAAACGTGTTTTAATCGATTAAAATAAATCGAGCGAGATCATACTTTGCTAGTCGCTCGAGCGAGATCAGTTTCGCTCAAGCGAAAAACAACCGGAGGATGAAAATTATGTGCAGGTGTCTTCGCTCGAGCGAGTTTAATGTCGCTCAAGCGAAATATAACTTGTAATAGCGGTTAAACCATAACCGCTATCTTATATATACTTTAAATAGCGGTTACAGAGGAACCGCTATGATATCCTCCAATTATGATCGATCATTTCAAATTATGATCGATGAGGATGGTATTTCGCTCGAGCGAGAGTGTAATCGCTCGAGCGAAATACAACCCCGAGACTCGAATCTTAAAATATTTTTTTTGAATATTATGTTTTTTAATTTGTTATTAGAGAAAACCTTTCGTAATTCAAAATGTTAAATTATATTTTAGAATATATATATATATATATAATTTTCTATCAAAATTATATATTCTCAAATATAATTTATTTTCATTTCTATAATATATATATATAAATTTTAGTAATATTGTGGAATCTATATTTTATATTATAGTAATTAATATAAATTATATTTTAGAATATGTATATATATATATATATATATATATATATATATATAATTATACATTAAAATAAATTCAAATTTTGGAGCCTTTAGATAGCAGTTATTCCGGAACCGCTATCATATGTGAACATATGATAGGGGTTCCAGGTGAACCGCTATCTAAAGTGTCGAGGTTTTGGAAAAGTGATCGATCATTTTGGCAAAATAATCGATCATTTGAAAACTTGTACCTAAATGACGAGCAACTTATGCTTCAGTGTTATAATCATTTGTGTACTCACCCATCACATGTTAGACGACTTTTTGGCTTGCCCTCACATCTAAGTCTCTCCCAGTTGTTCATGTTCTTGAATGGAGGTGATTGAATGATCTGAACTGGAGGACTTGACTGCAAAAGATGGATAAGATTATAATTATTTGTTTGAAGAGCATTAGTGTGCATAGATTTATAATTTTAGTAATCTTTCCTTTAATTATTATTCTATTTTCACTGTATTTTATATTTGTTTTAAATAATAATGTACAATTATATTATTAGTTTTCATAATTATTTGTTATTATCAATCAATATTAATTATTATTTTATATTTTATAATTATTTAATTATTAGTCAAATATTTTATTTAATATGTCAACATTTTTTTAATATGGATATGCAATGTACATAATTTTGTAATTGTTTATTTATATAATTTTTAATATCTATCTAAAAAAAGTTAATTTTTTAAATTTGTTTCCAATTACAAACACTTTTAATTTTGTTTTTTCTTTTAAATATATAATCAATGTTAAAATATGGATAATTAATTAAAATTTTATATTTATAATCATTTGAATTCAACCTTATTTTATACAAAGGGTAAAATGGTAATTTTCTTAAATAATCAACATAAAATTATAATTTTTATATCTCATATCAATCAAATCATTCACAATTTCCCATAAACTTTTCTTTCACTTTACATTCATCTCCATTTCTCTTCAAATCCCTCCTTTTCCACTCTCTCATTTCCACTCTCTCAAATCACTCCATCCAAACAAAGCATAAAAAATATTGTTACTATTCAGCGATGAATTAAAATTGTCACTTTCTAACATTTGAAATTATTAAATAATGGTGAAAACTACGTTTTATTATAAATATTTAATTTTACGTTATTATTTAATAAAATGTATTAAATATATAAAAAATATGTAATAATATTTACTATATTTTGACATGTTATATCGGTGAAAACAAATATATACAAATATTTTAGAAATGCAAATCAACACTATATAAATCAATCATAACCATTAAATTTATATTTGGAAACAGATAAAAAAGTGAACAGGTATTAGGGATTACATTAAATTTTGTATTCTTTATTTTTAATTTAACTTTCCATTTGTTTAATAGTATGAAAAAAATTAAAAATACATTTTTCAATAAAATTTATTATACACAACTAGACCAAAACGTATATATATATTTCAAAAGCATCTATTTTTAGATTAATATATATATATATATATATATATATATATATATATATATTCTTTAGAAAAATCAAGATTAATAGAACCAGACAATGTATTATATGTCTAAGAATACAAAATTACCTAACATCGTTTTTTTTTAACGTTGTGGAATGTTTATTTTGATCTTTGCTATGATGATCCTTCTAATATTTTTTAAGAAAAAATTTCATTAGAAAGAATCTAAAATAAGCTTCAAATATACAGAGGTTAAACGAATGCACTGTAGACGTGCAAAATTAATAGCAGAAAAAAAAAACCCAAAGAAAATGTAATTTCAATAGCTTTGCTTAATAATAATAATACATAAATTAATATTATTAGTCAAATTAAAATGCTTGATTCTATTCAAACAGATTTATTTTTTTAAAATTAAAACCCTATGAAAGAATACACGCATGTTGATTACTTTTAAAATTATACAAGTCGCGTAACAATGATAAAAACCCCTCTTCAACTCAGAAAGCAAGAACAAACTCGCAGGTTCTTCTTATAAAGGATGGAATAAGTTGGAAGCAACACAAATCAGACACCTAATCACGATCATAACATAGATTGCAGCAAAACAAGCACAATAATATTAATACGAAAATCCAAACTAAAAGCACTCTAAAACACGAAAATCCAAACTAAAAGTACTGAAACAGAACATTGATAATCAGAAAACAAACATTACAATCAAACATTGCTTTTGAGAAAAACACTGGTGAGAACAGCCTTGGATTCCAGAGAAGCTTTGAGCATATTGACACCCTATTAACAGAAAAAAACATATCATCAATGAAAAACTAATACTGCAATAATTGAATTGCAACGAATAAATTTAAAGGAGAGATAACACCTACATACCTCGGTCATTCCCAACTCAACCACTTTTTCTTGCAGGGCACCAACTTCTTTGACATTCAACCTGTTGAGTAATGTAATGGTTGATATGGTTGGCATGGGTTCAATCACTAAATCATCCATCACCATGTAAGTCACAACTGCTTGCACAAATCCATTCTTGTTTGGTAAAACATCTTCTGCAATCTTTTTACCAACATACTGCATTTTTGTGTTCATATTACTTCCGCAATTGGAAGAAGGAGTCTTGTTATCGCATGTGACTTTGACCACAGCGATTTGACACATATAGAACGAAGCGTCCAAATTGTTACCATCAGACTTATCATCGGGAGAGAGAAGGGAAGTGACTTGGTGTGAAGAAAAGGGAACTTTTGGCTTTAAGAGGACATCCTTTTGATGGTTTTGTTGCATGTAAGTGTCACTCATATTTTCAACACTTTGATAGAGATTGGCCAAACAACCAACCATATCTGTTTTGTTGAGAAGCCTTATGACAGTGCCCAGAGGCAAGCACAGCAAGTTAAAGAGGAAGTCTATGACCTCTTTTGATGTTTCAGCGAATAAGACTTTCTCATTCTTAGTGTCGATAAGCAATTTCAGGGTCAGTTTGGCAGAAGAAGGACAAGAAGCCATGATGAAAAGAGGGAGCGCTAAGAGGGAGACAAAGACAGCGCTGGGTACTTTAGGGTTTTGGGTTCATGTAGCTTTTATAAAAAAGTATATATAATACTTCCTCCACTATGTAATTTTATTAATATAATTTCTATAAATAGAATAAAAATATTTTTAATAGTAAATATAATTAATATTTTAATTATAATTAATTAAATAAAAAAATAACATAATTTTCTTATTTTATTTTAAAAAATAAAAATATTGTAATATCTAATTTAAAATAAAAATATGTTAATATCCAATTTAAATAAAAGTTATATTTATTCTGAATTTATTGAAATAGATTTAGGCTTAAGAAGAAAATTTGATTAGTTGAAAAAATTTATGAACTAAATCCAATCAAATGAATTTTATTTTTATCTATTAATTCAATGATTTATGTGAATTTAAATTAGAATTATAAGTCAGTTTATTTTATAAAATAATAAATTTTTTAAAATAAAAATAAAAAATACTATTTTATTAATATATATATATATATATATATATTATAAATTAATTTAATAAAAAATTTACTTATACTAAAAATAATAAATAAAAGAGCAAATTTTAATAATAGAATAATTAAGATAAATTATTAAAAAATAATAATGATTATACAGATATTTCTTTATCTTTTATTTTAAAATAAATGAATATTTTTTATAATTTATATATTAAATTATTATATTTAAAAAAATTATTTTATTAATATAACATAAATTTTAAAAATTTATTTCATTTTAAAAAAATTAATTTTATTATTATTTATTTATTATTTTCAATCATATTAAAATTAGCTCATTAACTTGATTTAACATAGGAAACTAAAAATTATAATTTTTTTAAAATATATGATAGATTAAACCATTATATTATAATTAAACGAGACTGTATATTTTGATAATTATATTATTTATATAATATATCTCCTTATTGTAATATCTAATTATTTAAATTTAACATTTTTTATTTTTATTATTATTTTTTTCTTTAACATAGAAAACTAAAAATTATATATATTTTTAATATATGTTAGATTAAACCATTGTATTACAATCAAACGAGAATGTCTATTTTAATAATTATATTATTTATATAATATATCTCCTTATTGCATTATCTAATTATTTAAATTTAACATTCTTTATTTTTATTATTATTTTTCTTTCTTATCTTTTGAACGTAATTTTTATAATTCTTTTCAGTGAAAACACATCTTCATTTTATTATATTTATCTTTTATTTACAAAAAATATTCTAAGATTGAGGAGAATCGTTTTAGAATACCTCTTCGTTATTTTTTATTTTATCTTTCTTTATTTTATTATTTTTCTATACACACAAAATCATAAAAGATTTAAATATTTAATTTTATATTTTTTTTAACTCGATCTTAAATTTCTCTATTTCACACTCACAATTTTTTAACTTTTTATCTTTGTGATTAAGATTCAGTTCTTTATATTTTAAGAATTCGAACCCTTCTCTCAAAATGACTCAATTGCAACATTTTTCAATCCTAACATTTTTTTCAATTTTCTCAAAACTATGTATAAACAATGAATAATAATGATAAAGGGAAGAGACATCCCTGTATCATAAGTCAAAAGAAAGACAGATTTTTAGATATACTCATGTACCATACTCTCAATCCTCGAACAGTGGTGCATGAAGCAAACAATTGTGATTACATGAGCTCTTTACATGCCTAATTTGAGTGAGAGAAAAAGAGGAAATTTGTCTTTTATCTTTTCCTTTACCTTTCTATTTCTTTCATTAAATAGAAAAGTGAAGTGACATTCAATTTGAAAAATTGTACTATTAAATAGAAAAGTGAAGTGCCATTCAATTTGAAAAATTGTACTCAAGGTAGGTCGGCATGTCTTTATGGTTATAGTTTGTAAATATCCCTTTACATATTTTAAATATGTGTCGGTTAATCTATCTTAAATTAATAAAAAAATATTATGGATAATGTTTTAAATACGTAAATAGAAACTATTGGTTTATAAAGATCAAAATTCATGGTAAGATAAGATTTGTGAATGATAGTAATTTGTCAGCGGAGAGTACTCAAAGAATGATGCTAAGAGATTATGATGACATAGAAATCATGATTGATGAGGTATTATATGTATCTCAGTTGAAAACAAATCTCTTCTTGGATCAGTCATTGTAGAAAGGATTTTCTATAACAATAGAAGATAATTGTTTCAGTATTTTTTATAAAAATAAGAAGTTGGTTATTCAAGCTAATTTGTCCCAGAGAAAACAATTTTTCAAGTTGGGATGAGTACATTGAAGTATTAGTGTTTTAGCACATCAAAGAATGAAACAAAATAGTTGTGACATCTTTGTTATGAACATCTAAATTTCAGATATTTGTGAACCAATACAGATTGAAACCCCTAGAGGCAGCAAGCATTTCATTTCATTCATTAATGATTTGACTAGAAAAATGTGAATATACTTATTGAAAAGAAAAAATGAGGTACAATATGTCTTTAAGAAGTTTAAATGCATGGTTGAAAAACAAAGTGAAAAACATATTATAAGGTTTTAAGAACTAATGGTGAAGTTGAATATACATCAACAAAAATCAATAAATTCTATGAGGATGAAGGTTTATTACATGTGATCACACCTCCTTACACACCCTAACACAACAACGTAATTGAGAGAAAAAATAAAATTCTCTTAAATATGGTAAGGTGTATGTTGAAGAGTAAAAACCTACCAAACTACTTATGGAGAGAGTTTGTCTTAAACCACATACATCTTAAATAGCTCTCTCACTAAAAGGTTAGATGGTATCAGACCTGAGGAAGCATGGACTGAAGTCATATCAGATGTCACTCACATGAGAATATTTCGTTCTCTTTGTTATACACTGTTGAACATTCAAGGACTTGATGTTGCAAATAATGATCATGAAGAATGTTGATTTTGATGATGATCCAAGAGCTTAAAGACTTAGAGTATTGAAGATTGAAGATTGATGATTTCTGTATTGTAATAACTCTGTTTTAGTTTGATTGAGTCTGTAATTATAGAGTCTAAGATAGCCGGTACATAGTCTATAACTTAGAAGCTTCAAAATGCTCAAATTTATCATGCAGGCTCGGCTTTAATCGATTATATAGGGAAATAATCGATTAAAACAGTGAGAAAACCATTTTCAGCATATACTCACCTGTTTTAATCGATTAAAACATCAAAATAATCGATTAAAAGGTCAAATAATCGATTATTTCACCAAATAATCGATTAAACCAAAGAGGATTGGGTTCTGCGTATTTGGCTCTGTTTTAATCGATTAAAACTCCATTTAATCGATTATTTCGATCTGTTTTTGTTTTTAAATTTCAAATTAACCCTATTTTCGAAAACCCAATTACCAAGAACCCTAGTTTCGAAATCCCCAATTCCTTAACCCTAATTTCCCTACTTAAACTCTGCTTTGGCACTCGAGAAAACAAGAACAACTCTTTCCATACAAAAGTTAAGTGCTTGTGAGTGCCGGAGAACTGTTTGTTGCAAGGAAAGGGGGCTTTTGGAACCTGGTGTGAGGCTAGAAGCGATAAGAATCACTAAGTGGAGTTCTTAGTGGATTGTGTGTTGTGCCGTCTCGGGGAAAGTCTGTTCTTCGGGGCTTTTGGAAACCTGGTGTGTGGCTAGAAGCGATAAGAATCACTAAGTGGAGTTCTTAGTGGATTGTGTCTGTGCTAGTCTCCAGGGAAAGCTGTTGATCATCTCTTGTGGATTTCAAGAGAGGTGTATTCTTTACTTTATCTCTTTAATTTGTAATCTGTTTTAACAATTTGTTCTTAGTGACAGCGTTAATCCTCTTTTGAGTGATTAGCAATCGGACGTAGGGTCTTTTGATCCGAACCAAGTATAAACCTACTGTGTAATCTTCTCTACTCTTCTCTATTTACATTTACGCAGTTTTTAATCGGTAAAATTTGGGGAAAATTTTGAAAACCTAATTTTTATTAAGAAACCAATTCACCCCCCCCTCTTGGTTTTTGTCCGACCACGCGAACATTCCGCTGCACGATTCTAACAAGTGGCCCTATTTTCGAAAACCCAATTACCAAGAACCCTAGTTTCGAAATCCCCAATTCCTTAACCCTAATTTCCCTACTTAAACTCGCTTTGGCACTCGGAAAACAAGAACAACTCTTTCCATACAAAAGTTAAGTGTCTGTGAGTGCCGAGAACTGTTTGTTGCAAGGAAAGGGGGCTTTCGAACTCGGTGTGAGGCTAGAAGCGATAAGAATCACTAAGTGGAGTTCTTAGTGGATTGTGTCTGTCATGCCGTCTCCGGGGAAAGTCTGTTCTTCGGGGCTTTTGGAAACCTGGTGTGTGGCTAGAAGCGATAAGAATCACTAAGTGGAGTTCTTAGTGGATTATGTGTCTGTGCCGTCTCCGGGGAAAGTCGTTGATCATCTCTTGTGGATTTCAAGAGAGGTGTATTCTTTACTTTATCTCTTTGATTTGTAATCTGTTTTAACAATTTGTTCTTAGTGACAGCGTTAATCCTCTTTTGAGTGATTAGCAATCGGACGTAGGGTCTTTTGATCCGAACCAGTATAAACCTACTGTGTAATCTTCTCTACTCTTCTCTATTTACATTTACGCAGTTTTTAATCGGTAAAATTTGGGGAAAATTTTGAAAACCTAATTTTTATTAAGAAACCAATTCACCCCCCCCTCTTGGTTTTTGTCCGACCACGCGAACATTCCGCTGCGCGATTCTAACAAGTGGCCCTATTTTCGAAAACCCAATTACCAAGAACCCTAGTTTCGAAATCCCCAATTCCTTAACCCTAATTTCCCTACTTAAACTCTGCTTTGGCACTCAGAAAACAAGAACAACTCTTTCCATACAAAAGTTAAGTGTTGTGAGTGCCAGAGAACTGTTTGTTGCAAGGAAAGGGGGCTTTCGGAACCTGGTGTGAGGCTAGAAGCGA